ATTCCCTCACACTACTTCTCAATCTTTATCATTCCCTCACGCTACCTCTGAATCTTTATCATTCCTTCACACTGCCTCTGAATCTTTATCATTCCCTCACACTACCACTCTATCTTTATCATTCCCTCACACTACTTCTCAATCTTTATCATTCCCTCACACAACCTCTCAATCTTTATCATTCCCTCACACAACCTCTCAATCTTTATCATTCCCTCACACTACCTCTCAATCTTTATCATTCCCTCACACTATCTATCAGTCTTTATCATTCCCTCACACTACCTCTCAATCTTTATCATTCCCTCACACTACCTCTCAATCTTTATCATTCCCTCACACTACCTCTCAATCTTCATCATTCCCTCACACTACCTCTCAATCTTTATCATTCCCTCACACCACCTCTCAGTCTTTATCATTCCCCTCATAAATGTGTTTTGATATTTTTTGTCATTCTGATGGGAAAAAAACAATTTTTTGTGATTTCTTTCAGTTTCATTGGCAATAAACAATAAATCAAAAATAAACAAACAAAATAATAATTTGTATATATTTAAATCAGATATGTATATTATTATACTTTACATAATATATTTATCACAGAATTCAAGAACACCTAGATGAGTAAATAAATGGTATCTTTTTTTCTTAGACGGATTATTAAAGATGGGTTCCCTTATTTTCATTTATGAAAATGAAAATGCTAATACTTATATGAATAGAAATATATTATCATGTATTCTTAATCATATCATTATGATCTTTAACCAATAATAAATATCCATGTATGTACAGTCTGGATAAACAAAAAAAAAAAGACTTTTTGATCTTTTTTGATCGGTCACTCATTAGAATTCTGCTGGTAATTCTCATCTAATTTAGCTAATTATGAATTAATTATGGACATGCGAGACAAACTGGTCTTTTTCCAAGTCATTAGAACACCTCTACTTTCCATTCATATAAGTATTAGCATTTTTATTTTCATAAATCAAAATAAGGGAACCCATCTTTAAAAGTGATACAAATAGCTTAACTCAATCTGATATAACAATAGTAATAAATTCATCCATTATAATTATTCTCTATCTCACCCACAGATTCAACAGGCTCAATAATTTAAATTTTTGATATATTGTTCTGAGACGGAAACTTAGAGACCATACAATGTATTTTGATTATTTCTCACAATTTCATATTTACAAATAACACTAAATAAAAATAGCGATGCCATCGTAATACGCCCACATTTGTAATGGCAGCTAATTTGTCCGGGAGGTTGACAAGAGTTATCAGTAAATGAATGTTTCTGAGAGTGAAATTTTCATATTTCATGGGTTTTGTTTATAGCTTACAATTCAAGAACAAGGCAATAACTCAGAGTAAATATTTTTCGATTCGTCTGATTTTCAATAGGGTTCATCCTTGGGTGATTACGAACACTCACACCAAGTTTCGTCAAAATCCATCAAGAAACCAGCTCTCTATCGTGTCCACAAATAATTCAAGAACAAGGGCAATAACTCATAGTAAATATTTTTCGATTCATCTGATTTTCAATAGGGTTCATCCTTGGGTGATTACGAACACTCACACCAAGTTTCGTCAAAATCCATCAAGAAACCAGCATTAATGTGTGGGCGTATAAACACAAGCAAAGATGTTTGTGCACATCCAGAGATGATTCCAAAAACAAACAAGAATAGTCTACTTTATTTTGAGGTAGGATAAGTAGTTTTGAATACATTTCATGTCAATTACTATTCATTCTACCTCAAAATTAAGTGGAGTCATCCTGTTTATAATTTGAATCAGCAACTGATGCAGAAACTCGATGGTTTTAACCAATCAGAAATGTCCATGTATGAACAATCTGGATAAACAAAAAAAAGTCTTTTTGACCTTTCTTGAGCAGTCACTCATTGAAATTCTGCTGGTAATTCTCTTCTAATTTAGCTAATTATGAATTAATTATGGTCAATATGTAGGGCTGGGCGATATTGGTTCAAGTTGATATCACGATATTAAGTATTAATATATCACGATATGGGTATATATCACAATATTTTTTAAGTTTATTTTTTACTGGTTTTTGAAAGAAAATTATGATCTAGAAATTTTAAATGTAACATAAAACAATAAATATCTCTAAAAACACCCCAGTCTTTAATATCATGAAAAAAACCATCTGTTTCAACTATTAAGTTACTTGTTAAAATTATGTAGATGATCTTATCTCGACAAAAATATGACTATATATCATGATAATTACCATATATCAGGATATGTCGATATTTCAGTATTTATTAATCAGGTGATATTATAAACAATATAAATTCCTATACTGGTATTTATCGTGATACCAACCGGTATATCGCCCAATCCTATCAATATGTAAAACAAATGGTCATAAATGTAAAGATGAAGGCATACCAGATAGATTCGTGGTCAATAATAATGAATACATGGTTGAAGGGTGCACACACTACCACTTTAAAAGGTATCAATTTATAGTCTTGTGTCAAATTTGGAAGTTTTTCCTATCTTGGATGTTGCCTTTAATATAGAAACGCCCACTGGCAGCAGTCAGAAATGATTAAACAGTCTTTACTGACTAAAGTATGAATTTTCTCATATTAAAGAAATTTTACTAGTTTGAATTTAATGATATATATATTTACTGCCAGTTATTTATGCTGAGTAATTCCACCAAATTTTTAAAAATCAATATCAATAACCCAAATACATCAAATTATCGCATCTATATACATGATCACACCATGTTTCATTAAAATCAATTGAAAACTGTAGTCTCTATTGTGTTCACAAACAAATTTTGACGCGTTTTTCTTAAGTCAAGGGCAATAACTAAAAAAACGTTCATTGAAAGATCGTCAAATTCAAACTTGACCAAGATCACATCAATATAAATGATCACACTAAATTTCATTAAAATCAGTTGAAAACTGTAGTCTCTAATGTGTTCACAAACAAGGGCAATAACTTAAAAACCGATCCTTGAAAGATCGTCAAATTCAAACTTGACCAAGATCTCATGAATATAAATGATCACACTAAATTTCATTAATATCAGTTGAATACTGTAGTCTGTATTGTGTTCACAAACAAATTTTGACGCGTTTTTCCTAAGTCAAGGGCAATAACTCAAAAACCGTTTGTTGAAAGATCGTCAAATTCGAACTTGACCAAGATCACATCAATATAAATGATCACACACCAAATTTCATTAAAATCAGTTGAAAACTGTAGTCTCTATTGTGTTCACAAACAAATGACGCGTTTTTCCAAGTCAAGGGCAATAACTCAAAAACCATTCATCGAAAGATCGTCAAATTCGAACTTGACCAAGATCACATCAATATAAATGATCACACCAAATTTCATTAAAATCAGTTGAAAACTGTAGTCTCTATTGTGTTCACAAGAAATGTTGACGGGCCAACGGACCGACGACAGGGGCAACGGCAATATACGCCCACATTTCCATGTGGGCATATAAAAATGTACATATTAAATTATTGTATTATACAGGCTTTAGAAACTTTAGTATCAGCAGGTTTAGATGATGAATTATTTGCTGTTGTTGTTGATTGTTGGTCGTTTAATAAATTTACCAGCTGGTTGATCTGAAAATAAAATGAAAAAGTGGAAAAAGTTGAATTTTTTCAATATGATTAGGCCATATAAAATAAATAGTCTGTTTTACAGGCCTAAAAATGCCTGATTGTTGCCTTAATATTAAATGTACATTAAATTTGTGGTAATATATAATAAATGCTTTCACTCGCTCCGATTTATTCCAGTTGAAAATCTAAAAAAGCGTCATAAATAATAAATAATAAATTCGCCTTCTCGTCCCAATTTTTGAAAAAAAAGGCCTGTAAAACAGACTATTTATTTTATATGGCCTAACAGCTTGATTATGATTTCTTTTTATCTGATGTACTTTATTGTCTCCATTGTAATGTAGGCTAACAAGTCATTATCATTGTCTTGCTCTCTTAACAGTAGCAAGCAAGTGTCTAACTCACTTAGCCATTTTGGGCAGTCCCTCATTTTTGAATTTAGAGACTGGAAAAATTAGATTGTGGCAAGACCCTACACCTGATGATGCCACAAGTTTTTCAAGGAAAATCACCAGATTTTTCAAGGCAAATCTCCAGATTTTTCAAGGCAAATCTCCAGATTTTTCAAGGCAAATCAACTGATTTTTCAAGGCAAATCTCCAGATTTTTCAAGGCAAATCTCCAGATTTTTCAAGGCAAATCACCAGATTTTTCAAGGCAAATATCCCGATTTTTCAAGGCAAATCTCCAGATTTTTCAAGGCAAATCTCCCGATTTTTCAAGGCAAATCTCCAGATTTTTCTAGGCAAACTAAGCAAATCTCCAGATTTTTCAAGGCAAATCTCCAGTTTTTTCAAGGCAAATCACCAGATTTTTCAAGGCAAATCACCCAATTTTTCAAGGCAAATCTCCCGATTTTTCAAGGCAAATCTCCTGATTTTTCAAGGCAAATCTCCTGATTTTTCAAGGCAAATCTCCAGATTTTTCTAGGCAAACTAAGCAAATCTCCAGATTTTTCAAGGCAAATCTCCAGTTTTTTCTAGGCAAATCACCAGATTTTTCAAGGCAAATCTCCCTATTTTTCTAGGCAAATCTCCCGATTTTTCAAGGCAAATTTCCTGATTTTTCAAGGCAAATCTCCAGATTTTTCAAAGCAAATCTCCAGATTTTTCAAGGCAAATCACCAGATTTTTCAAGGAAAATCTCCAGATTTTTCAAGGCAAATCTCCAGATTTTTCAAGGGCAAATCTCCAGATTTTTCAAGGCAAACCACCAGATTTTTCAAGGCAAATCACCAGATTTTTCAAGGCAAATCTCCTGATTTTTCAAGGCAAATCTCCTGATTTTTCAAGGCAAATCTCCCGATTTTTCAAGGCAAATCTCCAGATTTTTCAAAGCAAATCTCCAGATTTTTCAAAGCAAATCTCCAGATTTTTCAAGGCAAATCTCCAGATTTTTCAAGGCAAATCTCCAGATTTTTCAAGGCAAATCTCCAGATTTTTTTTCTTGACTTGTACACATGTATGTCCATAATGTTTATTCAATATATTTGCAATACAAACGTCTTACCTCTATTGTACTCTGACCAGAAGCTTGGGCATTCTCTATTAAACCTTGAATCTTATTCTAAAATTATTACAACATAATATCAAAATAGTATGACACAAAATTTCAATGGGCCTTGTTTAACAAAGCACCAATTCACAAAATACAGCATACTCTGAGCCTATAGCAAATAAGGCCTTGGATTATTGTCCCATCCAAATGTCTATGCTTTCCATATCAGAACATCCAAATTGAAAATGAAATTTTGTATCCTATGCCAGTATTGAACTCTGGACCTCTAGGTTAGTAAGCAAGCATCTGAGCTTGAGATTCAGCAAAAGGCACACTGGTTAAAATGGGTCTCCTTATTTTTTTAGTGTCAAATTAAGCAAACTATTTGATTAATTGGTGTTTCTAATGAATTATCATGTATTCTAAATCATATAACAAATATCTAAGTATGTAATTTAAGTCTGGATAAACAAAAGAAGACTTTTTGACCTTTCTTCATCAGTCACTCATGGGAATTCTGCTAGTAATTCTCTTCTAATTTAGCTAATTATGAATTAATTATGGACATATGAGACAAACTGGTATTTTTCCAAGCCATTAGAACACCTCTACTTTCTATTCATATAAGTATTAGCATTTTCATTTTCATATATGAAAACAAGGGAACCCATCTTTAAAAGAATCTTCAAAATCTAAAGTTGTGTTGACCCTTCTTTCTGTTAGAAAAAAGATCACCTACATTCAATGAAGCTACTTCAGTAACTGGTATGGAACTGTTTTGGACTGGAACTTTAATTTCTTTGTTTTTATTTGCTGTTTCTTTTTTATCATTTACTTTAGCCGGTTTGGTGTCCTTTGCCGTTTTTGCTGGACTGCTTTTTTGTTGTTTGGATGTTTTGGAATCGCCTTTCTGTGTACCCCATATTTCTATGACAAGAGGTTTCTCTGCGATGTAATCAATTAGCTGAAATTGTACAGAAGAACTGGCTGTTACTACCATTATAAATGCTCACAAAAACTTCAAGGGTGAATATTTGAGGCAATACCTTAAAAAACAACAATGATGTGCAACAATGATGTGCAAGATGTGCAGAGCAAAAGAGGAGGTCATGGGATTGTATAATCCTGTTCTGTGATCAAAGTTGGTTCATCCAACTACAGACTCTTAGGTCATTAAGCCATTTGGATTGTAAAGAGGTTTCTAAACTTTTTATACATATCGATAAGCGTCATTTCAATTTTCAGTCAGACCGCTTTGGTTCTTGCAATTTTTATTTTTTGTCACTTGCAAAAAGCTGTTAATCATTATATCATTGAAACCGCTTGAAAGCTCATATGCCATATTTGGTCATTTTGACTTTTTGGTACCGTTCGAAAGCTCGTAAAAGCGCGGATCTTGTGATCAAAACCTCGTATTCTTAGCTTGATTGTAAATAACTCAAAAACCACTAATTAAATAACACGTATATAAACAGTCAGATTTAAAACCTTGTAAAATATATTATTATACAAGGTTCAATCTTCCTTTTTCTGCAGATGAAAATGAAAAACCTCATATACTGTATTATTATACCAGTTTTTGGTTCAATAGGCCGGAGAACTCAAATTGTTATACGAGGAAGAATGAAAACCATGTATAGCGGTAAAAAAACTAATAAAAAAGATTTTAACAAAATACGCGTACAAACAGTTTTTCTCGAAAATTAATTCCGCGTCATGTATCGTTATACGAGGTTTCAAGTGGTCACCCACGATATAAGGGATTTTGAGAGATTGATTGTAAATTGGAATGGTGCAAATTGATGCTATCAGTGTCTCAGATACACATCAAAAATTTCAGAAAACCTCTTTACAATCCCTTTAAATCATTAAAGAAGTCGTACCTGCTTAGTGACTGTATACTGGAATTTATTTTCATGCTTATATTCAGGATTTATGGTACCAGAAACTACTTGAGTCTGAGTGGATTTCTCTTCCAAGAAAAATTTATATTTACACCAGCTCTGTAAAATCAAAACAAATATTGATTCATTTTTATACGCCCACATCTCTCTATGTGGACGTATATTGGTGGCACCCCTGTCCGTTCGTCGGTCGGTCGGTCTGTCTGTTTGTCCGTCCGTCAACATTTGCTGGTAAACACTCTAAAAACTAGATTTTTTGATGGAATCAAATGAAATTCGTTATGTGTATACATATTCATAAAACGAAGATCAAGTTCGAATTTGAGCTATTTTCGACCGTTAGAAGCAGAGTTATTGCCCTTGCCCCAAAATCTTGAATATTCGCATGCCGTGGTGGGCGTATATGGATGTGGTCCACTATCTTTGATAATAGCGTGTGGTACATTAGGTGACGACATTTTGATTTCACGAAGGTAATAAAGTTCTTTGATACATGACCCTTGATCCATGATGCTAATATTTTTATTAATCAATTTGACCGATGATTTACATCCCACCAAATAATGTGCAAAAATGATTCTGCAAAAGCTATCATTCTCAAAGAATTTTGTTTAAGTGTAACATAACAAAAATTGATAAGGGGGATTTTGGCTTGGTGGATCAAAGGAAGGAGATCACAAAACTCACAACCCCCTCATCTCCACTTATAGTGCGTTCAGACGACTAAGGTTAAGGCAGCTTAACTTCAAACCGTTCTTCGAGCCCATTTTTTTCAGTCGTCTGAACGCAATCAGTTGAAATCAAGCTGCCTTAACTTGCACCTACTTTGGAGGTGGCTCGAAACCTGTCTTGGAATCTTAAGGCAGCTGAGCTTGTCCGCAATGCAACTGGCTAACAACAAGCCAGATACAGATGCCCCCGCGCATGCGCATTACTCTCAACATGTTCCCGCCATTGTTTCTGTCATTTATAAATAATGCGCATGTGTAACGGCATTATGACCTCTGAACTTTCCGAGGAATTCCAGGTCAATATCCAAGCTGGCTTAACTTTTATGACCGTCTAAACACGCACAAAAAAAACATAAACCAGTCTCGAAGAACGGTTTGAAGTTAAGCTGCCTTAACTTTAGTCGTCTGAAAGCACTATTAGATGCATGACCTATACAGGTACTTAAAATGATTTTATAAGACACTATAAACAAATTCAATTTTAGGCAAGTTTAGGTTGCCATGGTCACTAAGTCCAATTTGGACAAAATCAATAAAGTTCATGAGAAATGGGTCCAAAACCTGTCCTAGACCAATCAAGATGGAAATGAAGGAGAGAGTCATGTATGCATGGAAAAAGTCAGCATTGGTTGCTAGTACATTGGACAGCATCTCAGAGTCCAGAAATGAAATGAAATGAATGGAGTTTTACGTCCTACTTTTCTGCACCTTGTGGGCTAATGAAGACGGGCAACGCCATGCAGGGTGCAATGAGGAAAATTTTGCCAGGACAGCGGCATTAGCCTGCTATTTTTCGATTTCCAACTGTCGAGGTATCTTTAACGTGCACAGCCTGTAGCATACGGGACCTCGGTTTATTGTCCCATCTGAACGACTAGACACTTTCACTTGCATCACTGTCAGGGGGAAACCGAGTTGAAAAATCCGACCTATGCCGGGATTGAACCCTGGACCTTCAGGTTAGCGAGCAAGCGTCTAACTCACTGAGCCACCGCGACTCCCTCAGAGTCCAGAGACAGGACAAATTCAACTAAACGTCAAATTAAATTCAATATAAAGTCAGTGGTAATAATTTAGAACTTACCGATGCAAATCTTTGAGGTAGACCTCTAGCAAATGGAATGATCAATTTAAAATATATCTTTCTATCAATCTGAAATAGAATAATAATCATTTATTTAATCGCTAATAACTAAATTTTAGTTCATGTTTTTAAAAGAACATGTACCAGCTAATAGTGCTCAATTTAAGCCATGCGTATCACTTTTCAGAACTTAAGTTTCGACTTCCAGTTACTTGCGGTTAAGTAATGTTAGGATATCCTAGGCACAATTTGAAACTACCACAATACGTTTTCTTTTTAATATCAGGGAAAGTGAATATCAGATTTGAAAAGTATGGAAGCGTATTAGGGCCATTCATTTTTTTTTTTTGAATTTTCAAGTTAGTATGTTGAATTTTAAGTTAGTATGTTGAATTTTAAGTTAGTATGTTGAATTTTAAGTTAGTATGTTGAATTTTAAGTTAGTATGTTGAATTTTTAAGTTAGTATGTTGAATTTTAAGTTAGTATGTTGAATTTTTAAGTTAGTATGTTGAATTTTCAAGTAAGTATGTTGAATTTTCAAGTTAGTATGTTGAATTTTCAAGTAAGTATGTTGAATTTTCAAGTTAGTATGTTGAATTTTCAAGTTAGTATGTTGAATTTTCAAGCTAGTATGTTGAATTTTCAAGTTAGTATGTTTAAGTTAGTATGTTGAATTTTCAAGTTAGTATGTTGAATTTTCAAGTTGGTAACTTGAATTTTCAAGTTAATATCTTGAATTATCAAGTTAGTATCTTGCCTTTTCAAGCTAGTATCTTGAATTTTCAAGCTAGCATGTTGAATTTTCAAGTTAGTATGTTGAATTTTCAAGTTAGTATGTTAAATTTTCAAGTTAGTATGTTGAATTTTCAAGTTAGTATGTTGAATTTTCAAGTTAGTATGTTGAATTTTCAAGCTAGCATGTTGAATTTTCAAGCTAGCATGTTGAATTTTCAAGTTAGCATGTTGAATTTTCAAGTTAGTATGTTGAATTTTCAAGTTAGTATGTTGAATTTTCAAGTTAGTATGTTGAATTTTCAAGCTAGTATCTTGAATTTTCAAGCTAGCATGTTGAATTTTCAAGTTAGTATGTTGAATTTTCAAGTTAGTATGTTGAATTTTCAAGTTAGTATGTTGAATTTTTAAGTTAGTATGTTGAATTTTCAAGCTAGTATGTTGAATTTTTAAGTTAGTATGTTGAATTTTCAAGTTAGCATGTTGAATTTTCAAGTTAGTATGTTGAATTTTCAAGTTAGTATGTTGAATTTTCAAGTTAGCATGTTGAATTTTCAAGTTAGTATGTTGAATTTTCAAGCTAGCATGTTGAATTTTCAAGTTATATGTTGAATTTTCAAGTTAGTATGTTGAATTTTCAAGTTAGTATGTTGAATTTTTAAGTTAGTATGTTGAATTTTCAAGCTAGTATGTTGAATTTTTAAGTTAGTATGTTGAATTTTCAAGTTAGCATGTTGAATTTTCAAGTTAGTATGTTGAATTTTCAAGTTAGTATGTTGAATTTTCAAGTTAGTATATTGAATTTTCAAGTTAGTATGTTGAATTTTCAAGTTAGTATGTTGAATTTTCAAGTTAGTATGTTGAATTTTCAAGTTAGTATGTTGAATTTTCAAGTTAGTATGTTGAATTTTCAAGTAACTAAATTCAAGATACTAACAGACAAAGCATTTTTCATAACAACTATTGCTTTGTTGAAGTAATTGGCTATCTGTAGCTCTATCCAGAATCAAAATATTATACCCATTTACATTTTGATTTTGGCAGATTCAATGATTACAAAATCTGAAAAGTTATAATGATATCTGAACATGAGCTCTATCAGTTGGTCAAGGAAATATCTAAAGTGATACTACGTCTTAGAATTAACATAAAATTTAAGAATTTTAAACTTGGCCAATAAGAGCCAGTAGATATACCTGGTGTCATAAATAACATAACAGGATCCTTATATAATCTGATAAATCCAAAAAACTTAATAAATTTGCTATGAACTATTGAAAAACGCTTAATATCAAGATTAAGCGTTTTTCAATAATTACTTAGTTTTATGAATTTTCCAATTTTCTAGATTTTCCAAGGGATTCTGTTGTAACTTTATGACACCAGGTAAGTTCACTGATGAATATATACTCATATTGACCATTCTTCGAGAATAAAATTTTATGTTAATTATAAGACAGAGTATCACTTTAAATGCATCTATTTTTTGAAAACAACAAAACCCTAAAAAATTACCAATTCAGCAGGATTATCTATAAAATATTCCTCCTCTATATCATCCCAAGATTCATTACAGGGCCGTACTTCTACAGACAAATGACCTATCAAAATAATAATAATTAAATCATGATTCGGTAAAAATATATTATAATACGAGGTTCAATATTTCTTTTTCTGCGGATGAAAATGAAAAACCTCATATACTGTATTATTATACGAGTTTTTGGTTCAATAGGCCGGAGATTTCAAATTGTTATACAAGGTTTATATTTTCCAAGAATGAAAACCACGTATAGTGGTAAAAAAAATAATAAAAAAGATTTTAACAAAATACGCGTACAAATAGTTTTTTGCGTTTTTTCTCGAAAAGTAATTCCGCGTCATATATCGTTATACGAGGTTTCAAGCAGTCACCCATGGTATAGTTATTGCATATCTTACCTTGATCAGTTCCTCTGTAATCAGCAATGGCCAAATTTTCCTGCAATTCTATCATATAACCTAACGATTGTAAGTAAACATGGACAGTACCGACTAATACTTCAGTCTCTGGTGGTTCCCAAAATGGATCTCTTTCCTGGCAAAATTTAAAAAGACAAATTAATCAAACATTTCTGATCCAGTTCAAATTGAATATCAAAACCATTAAAGATGGGTTTCCTTATTTTTTAGTGTCAACTTAAACAAACTATTTGATTAATTGGTGTTTCTAATGAATTATCATGTATTCTTAATCATATCATTATGTTCTTATTGCATATAATTAAGAGTTTTAACCAATCATAAATGTCCATGTATGTACAGTCTGGATAAACAAAAAAAAAGACTTTTTGACCTTTCTTGATCGGTCACTCATTAGAATTCTGTTGGTAATCCTCATCTAATTTAGCTAATTATGAATTAATTATGGACATGTGAGACAAACTGGTATTTTTCCAAGTCATTATAACACCTCTACTTTCTATTCATATAAGTATTAGCATTTTCTTTTTCATAAATGAAAATAAGGGAACCCATCTTTAAAAAACGCTAAAATGTTATCATGCCACCTGAGTTGACACACTGAAATTAATATTATACAATGAGAAGCCATAAGTCTTTGGAGGCACAGAAAACGATCACTTTAAGTTTTTGAAAAAGCCAAGAGCCTGTTTAAAGATGGAGTACTGTAAAAGATAATTTTTACCTGAGGGACATCCCAATCCTCATCTCCTTGCATATAATTAGCGTACATTTCTTGCATCAAATATTTCCTGTTAATAAAATCATTTCTTGAAAACATCCATTCATTTTCATTTTCCATATGTTTCATCTTTACCATCACCTTTAAAAACATAAGCCATTTTAAAAATTTTTTAGGGGACATTAATGGGTAGATATCTACGGAGCCCCTAAGGCGCAATTTTCCATACTTTTATAAAATATTTCGTTTTAACAAAAAAATTATTTTGTACGAAATAAGTATTTCATTAAATGAAATAATTTCTTTTCGTTTTATATGACATTATTTCGTTTAAACGAATAAGTTATTTCATAATAGCGAAATAACTAATTCGTTAAAACAAAATATTTGATAAAAGTACGGAAAATTGCGCCTTAGGGGCTTCATATATATCACATCAAATAACTGAACACAATTTATGGTTTTCTACTCCTGTGTTTTATTTTACAATAATTTGCATAATGTTCCTCATTGAACCTGATGATGACAATGTTAAAAAAACATACCAGAAAAAGAGACAAGATGTTAAAAACATTTAACCTAGAAAGTCTTTTAGCTGAAAAGCTAAAACACAGAGTGGTATCCGTTGTTTTATTACTCACCTCAGTCTTTTCATGTTCTAAGCCTAGAGCCTGTGATGAGACCAAAGCTATTTCAAACTTCACTTTTTTGCCGAGTTCTTCAGACATAGCATTAGCTTCATTTATCATTGGTAACAACTGAATCAAATCTTCTTGTAATAACATGTCCTCTGAAATAACAAAGTCATAATGAAGTCCCTTGTTTTAGTTCAACATGTCCTCATGAATAACAAAGTTATATCCAGTTTCAATATATTTATCTGGAATAACAAAGTCATATTCAGTTTCAATATATTTATCTGGAATAACAAAGTCATATTCAGTTTCAATATATTTATCTGGAATAACAAAGTCATGTTCAGTTTCAATATTTCCTCTGCAATAACAAAGTCATGTGTAATTCAATATATTTATCTGGAATTAAAAAGTCATATTCAGTTCAATATTTCCTCTTGAATAACAAAGTCATATTTAGTTCAAAACATCATATGGAATAACAAAGTCATATGTAATTTAATATTTCCTATGGAATAACAAAGTCATACTTAGTTTTAAAAAAAATATATATCATATGGAATAACAAAGTAATATGTAATTTAATATGTCCTCTGGAATAACAAAGACATATTTAGTTCAAAATATATGGAATAACAAAGTCATATGTAATTTAACATGTCCTATGGAATAACAAAGTCATATGTAATTTAACATGTCCTATGGAATAACAAAGTCATATGTAATTTAACATGTCCTACGGAATAACAAAGTCATACGTAATTTAATATGTCCTATGAAATAACAAAGTCATATTTAGTTCAAAATATCATATGGAATAACAAAGTCATATGTAATTCAATATTTTTTATGGAATAACAAAGTCATATTTAGTTCAAAATATCATATGGAGTAACAAAGTCATTTGTAATTCAATATGTCCTATGGAATAACAAAGTCATGTTTAGTTCAAAAAATATCATATGGAATAACAAAGTCATATTATGTAATACAATATTTTTTTTTATTATTTTATTTTTTTATTTTTTTTTTTTTTATGGAATAACAAAGTCATATTCAGTTCAATATTTCCTCTGGAATAACAAAGTCATATGTAATTTAATATGTCATCTAGAATAACAAAGTCATACTTAGTTCAAAACATCATATGGAATAACAAAGTCATATTATGTAATTCAATATGTCCTATGGAATAACAAAGTCAAGTTTAGTTCAAAAATATCATATGGAATAACAAAGTCATATGTAATTCAATAAAATAAAAAAAATTTTTTATGGAATAACAAAGTCATATTCAGTTCAATATTTCCTCTGGAATAACAAAGTCATATGTAATTTAATATGTCATCTAGAATAACAAAGTCATATTTAGTTCAAAACATCATATGGAATAACAAAGTCATATTATGTAATTCAATATGTCCTATGGAATAACAAAGTCATACTTAGTTAACAAGATATGTTGTACATCAATTTTTTTTCTAAATATGCCAAATATAGGTTATTTAGATTGTCTGAAATAAGAAGAGATTGTAAACAGGTTTCTAA